GGATAGAGAGACCGGGATGGTTTTTAATGTGAAGACAACAACAACAACAACAACAATTGTTTCGCCACAAATTTGTTGTTCCATAGTTTCTTCATTTTTTTTTCTTAATATCACACATCACACAACAAATCCATCTCTATCTATAGAAACAAGTCTAAGATAGATTAGCATTGTTGTTATTGTTGTTGTTGTCTTCACATTAAGGGGTATTATTATCAGGCCGAAAAAATACGTAACTTTTTTCACCGAATAGTAACTTTTTTCACGGAACCGTAACTAGGGTTTCCGNGGCAGAAGGCGCGAAGGCGCGTATTTTTTCAAAATTTACGGAAAGCGCCACGGCTCGACGTACACACACCGGTCCCGACCAGGCGAGAGACCCGAGGACTCCCACAACAGACGTAATAAAAGGGGTATTATTATCAGGCCGAAAAAATACGTACTCGGTTACGAAACCGTACTTTCTTGAAATACATGGAGGCGTTCCTCTACGTTTCCGTAAAAAGAGCGAAGCGTATTTTTTCTGGGCTTGCTCCTTTTACTGTTCGGTGAAAAATTTCCCGCTGTTTTCGACGACCCGAGCAGACACCGGTCACGCGTGCTGTCTTCATCACACCACACCTAGACAGCACCACCAACACCCCAAACCGCTTCCCGAGGCAACTCCACTACCATGGCTGAGCGCCGGAAGCGCCAGCATCCCCAGGGGCCCGCAGCGCAACGCCGGGAGAAGCGCCGTCGAGGAACTATCGACGAGGTCGGTGCAGCCCAGGAACACAGGAGGTCTCTCACAGTCCTGGGTCTTCTGTAGTGGCGGCGGGCGTGGTGGCAGCAGGAGAAGCTCATCGTGCCCACTGCCCTCAGGAACGGGAGCCCATCTACGAGCCCAAGCGGCTTCCGTGGGCCCAACACCAGGCGGACCTCGATAAACGGCAAGGCTGGCGGCGGTCGTACCGCATGGAGAAGGCCAGCTCCCACAAGCTTGTCGAGCTACTCCGCCCTTCGCTGGCAGTCAACGCCTTCTTCGGCGCGGTGAGTGTTGATGTGTAAATGCAACCGCCCACGGCAGGTATGCGTAAGGCTTCCTCTCATGTACACGTAGAGAACAACGGGGAAGAGCAAGTCTAAAACCCAGGAGAAACACTACTGCTGTAGACTGCCTTGCTGTTTGTCTGCTATCTTTAAAAAAAAAAACTCCCTCATCCAAACATGCAGCCAGGGTATGCATACACGCAGCAGCACTTATTCTACGGCAGAAGGTACAGCAGTGTCGGCATATGCATACAGCAGCAGTCGTTGTATGGGAACGACAGGAAGGTACTATAGTGGCGCTGAAATATGTTCAGCAGTATGAATAGAGCGTGCAACACACGCCTGCACCACTATACATTATACATGCCTCGTCGGGAGCCTACACAGGTTGTCGTATCCCGCAATGATAGCATACAAGAGTCGACACGTGCTCCTCATATGCATATGCGAGATTAGTTGTTGTGTGTTCCGTGAAGAACACAGAGCCGTCTCACAACCCTAGTCGGGAGGTGTATTGGGCCGGTACTCTGGCGAGTTTAACGATGACATGCGTCCTTTGACGCTGGCGATTGCAAATACACCCCCTATGACACTGGTACATATTTCCTGACCGACACACGCTCATCCTTCGAACATTATCATCTGCGCGTCGCTCCGAAACCCCACAGCACTGCGATCGCCAATCAACGGCGCCATAGCTGTAGAAGTCCGCGTTGCCGTGGCGTTGAGGATCCTGGCTGGCGCTAGTTACTGGGATGTTGCCCTCATGTTTGGCTTGTCGGTGCCGACCACGTACCAGATCTTGTGGTCGGTGATCGACGCCATCAACAAGACGCCTGCGGTTGGGGCATTCGACTTCCCCCTGACCGAGGAAGGCTGCATGCGAAATGCCAACATATTCAAGGTGAGGCCTAACGGTGGTCATTACTGCTGCTGTGGGTTATTCTTGGCGGCATTCTCTTGACCAGCCGCGGGATGTCGTTTTTTTTAATTACGTCCGGCGTTTCCAGCCGTTTTAGTGTAGGGAGGCCTATACACAGCCTTCGACGGTAACGCAGAAAAAAAATGTTGTCCCCGGCGGATACAAGTTCGGATTGTCATCGTGGTCAGCATGCCTTTANACGTCCGGCGTTTCCAGCCGTTTTAGTGTAGGGAGGCCTATACACAGCCTTCGACGGTAACGCAGAAAAAAAATGTTGTCCCCGGCGGATACAAGTTCGGATTGTCATCGTGGTCAGCATGCCTTTAATCGAAAAACAACCCCCGGGTCCCGGGTGGTTCGCCAGCTGTTGGTCTTTGTACAAATGGCCTTTTTTCAAATAAATGTTTCTTTTTGTGTCATCATTATAGTGGATGCTGGCCGTGTTGGTTCCGCCCCGCAACAGTGGCCCGGAAACTGCTTTTAGTCAACCACGTGGCTCTGAGATACCCTGGTACATTTTTACCGCTGAACCTGACGCAATATTAGGATTAGCAAACACGGGATGTGCACCGTTGCTGGTGATGGCGCCGTCGCACACGACATCAACCCCCACAGCGTACAGCCGAACGCAATTTACCGAAGTTCGTCAACGTCCATCTCTCGA